ATGGGAGTCCCTGGTTGTGGTGTATCATGAGAAACATAGTCCAGGTGCCTGATACTCCCATTCTCCTCTACAGGCTGGGCTCCTTGGTTAGACTACATCTCCAGTGATGCACCATGATACCTCTCTTGGAGAGGGGAGGCAGTAGGTGAATCATGGGAGTTCCTGGTTGTAGTACATCCTGGGAGATGTAGTCTACTGGGGAGCCTGACCTGTAGAGGAAAATTGGAACAAGAAGCGATTAAACTATAACTCCCATGTGGCACCATGGCAGCATTTCAGAATCAAAATATTTCAGTTTTCAGCTGAAATTTTTCGATTTTGGGGCATTTGTTTTTTGGACGAAAAACCCCAATTTTCCACAGAGAGTAGAAACTTTCTGTGAAAAAAATTTGCTTAGTCAACAAACTAATTTTTTCCATCAAAAAAGAATTTCGAGAGAACATTTTGGACCAGGCCTAACGATGGTTCATTGTCTGTAGTTGGTCAAGATGGCCCTTGAACTCATCTCTGAATTTCACCCTGAAAGGGGAAGGATTGGATAGGTATATAAAGGGTTAAATTAACTTGGCTAACGACTATATCATGCTTGCCAATTTGTGTTGAGAAGTTCTGGGAAGGTCTGGAGAGATCGTGTTGGAAATACTGATCTTAAAAAGCCCCAATTACCAGGGATGGTTCTAACCTGTTTTAGCAAAGAACAGAATTCAAGGAGCAGTGACAATAGTCATGTAGGTTCCAGTCAGGAGCGGTGGAAGCTCCCTAAAAGCGCGGGACCCACTGGCGCCCGAACCATGGCCCCGCCTCCACAACACCTCTTCCCCCTGAGGCCCCACCCCCTGCTCACTCCTCTCCGCCCCCTCCCACCCATCGCTTGCCCTTGTGGCCAGTGGGAGGGATGGGGCCATGGCTCCCGGACCCTCCTGTTCCGGCACCCAGGGTTCCAGTAGATAAGGCATAAAAGGGTGAACTCTTCAAATATTTGTTGCTGGTATCTGTCTGACCAGTTGGCGCCAGCCAACGTGGGTTTAAGCTAATTCTGTTATAAGTTGCCGATCAAAACTTATCACTGCACATTATTGTATGGAGGTGATGCCTAGGCATTTAAGCCTAGTTTGGAGCAGTTGTGTAAATACCACTTGGCCATCTGGATTTAATAAAGGACTCTGTGGTTAAATTGGTGCTGTGCTGGTACCCTGTATTAATAATAATAATAACAACACGACATAGCAGACTCCATACTGCTTTGCCCCACCTCCCACATTGGGATTAGCAACCAAAGACCATCTAGCATCCCCCCAACCCCCGGGAAAGGCGTTGGGTTACCTTGGGCGCGTTGCACAGATAGCGCATCACCTCCCCTACGTACTGGATCACAGAGACGTGGTATCGCCGGCAGTCATCCCAGAACTGGGAGACGGAGAACTTGGGACGCAAGACGCAGGTGGCTCCTAGGGGAGAGGGAAGGAGAGGTGATGGGGGGCATGTGAACCCCATCAAATACAGCCTTTCCAGTCTACCCTAACCCAATCATGGCACTGAAGAGGTAACTGGTACATTGCTTATCTCACTGATTTGATTCGTCCACCATTTGCCTTATGTTCTGCCTGACTATTTGTTAAATCCACTTGTTGTATCTCGTCTTATACTCCTCAGGGCCGGAACCATCTTTTTGTTCTGTGTTTGTACAGCGCCTAGCACAACAGAGCTACAACACCTAGTTGACATCATAAAACAAACAATAATAATAATATGGCAGGAGTCACCAGGTGGCACTGCTGCGTATAGGCTTTTTTCTTGGCGTGCGAGCAAATGGTCAGTCTTTGGAGACATGTTTGAATTATGGTTAGTTTTGTGAAGCAGTTTCTTTTTAGGAGGAGCCGTGAGTTTCTTTCTGACTAGAGCTGATTTCTGAGACACAGTTAGTTGCTCCCAGTGCATCGATCATTGGTGGCATGCCGAGATTTCTGAAAGAAAGGATTTCCCCTGCATACGGAGCACTGTTGTAATAATTGGGGCTATACATTTGCCCTATTTGTAAGCCCAACTGTAAAAAGTATGTAGAAGTTTATAAAACGTCACAATAACCTACAATAACAAATGTCAGTGGGAAAAGGAAAACTGAGGTAGTCTAAACAAAGAGGCCCATGGAGATAACTCAAGGACTGTCTTAAAGTCATGCTTGGTAAAACCAGAAGACGTGGAACTGGCAATTAATGAACCAAAATTGTGTGTCAGAAACTAGGCCTAATTGGTGGTCAAAATAATGAGGGGACAGGCAGTTCCACTCATGACTCCCTTTGTGGGTCCTTAAAGAAAGATTTTTTTGGGGGGGAATAGAAAAAGAACAGATGAGGGCTATGTAGAAAGCCTCACCATCATGACAGCCACCCCCACCGTCTCCTGGGACATCTGGCCTCTGCCCTAATCCTCAAAGATGTCTGGGCCAGAGAGAGGAACCCAGACGATATCACCACCCGTACTGGCTCCTGCTGAACCCCAAACACCACCTGAGATGAAACGGGATCAGATTCAAACATCAGCGGCAACAACCACAGCTCCAGCCCGCCTCAGCTAACGTCATCTCTTTTCGCCAGAAGGATCATTACCATCTTGGGTACCGTAGGAGAGACAAGGAGTGTCTTTCTTTAAAACTCTCCAGATAAAAGGAAAGGGGACAGGACTTGTTCACGTGAAAGCCCTACTCAATACTTCACATTTCAAAGGCATTAGCTGGTTTTCCTTCCTTTCTGTAGCTTTAATAGAAGGTTAAAAAAAAAATGATGGTGCATTTGCCGTGGCCCTAAGCAGGCTAAGCTCTCTGGAGGCCAAACCCTGAATCTTGTTGAGTACTGTTTAATGTTGGACAGCGACTGGGTTGTGTTAACACCTTTGGCCCACATATTCCATCTAAATTAATACAACACCATCTCTGTGCAAGGCCTGGCACATATAATATAAAAATAAACAACATGCCTTTAAGAATGTATCTCCTCCAGTGGAAAGCCAAGCTGTGAGGGGCTCTGGGTATCCACTACAGCTTAAGAAACTTAAGGAACATAAGTATGGCCATCCTGGGTCAAACTATTGGTCCATCAAGCCCAGTATCCTGTCTTCCAACAGTGGCCAGTGCCAGATGCTTCAGGGCTACAGAACAGGGCAACTCTTGACTGATCCATCCCTTGTTGTCCAGTTCCAGCATCTGGCCGTGACAGTCTTAGCCATCCTGGCTAATAGCCATTGATGGACCTCTCTTCCGTGAACTTATCTAATTATTTTTTGAATCCATTTATACCTTTGGCTATCCCTCGGCAGTGAGTTCCACAGGTTGACAGTTGTGTTGTGTGAAGGAGTACTTGGCAAAGGGGTGACAATAACCTGAACAAACGGTTTTCACAGGAGCTAAATTCCACATGGTTTAAACTTCACGCTCAGAGAAGAGTTTTAGAGCCCAGCTCGGCAGAATTAGCAATAACTTAGGAGGGAAGGGAAGGGCCCGTCTCTTTGTTCTGTGCCTGTACAGTGCCTAGCCCAGTGGGGTTCTGGGCCACGGCTGGGGCTCAGGGTCATAGAGTTTCAGGCTAGAAAGGACCATCTGATCACCTCTCCGAGCTCCTGTATGTCACAGGGCCACCCACTCCACCAAGCACCTGCCCGCTAAACCCAGCAACTGAAATGGGACCAGTATATTACAGCCCACAGGAGACATGGTGTGTGCCACAGGCAGAGAATAGGAGGGACCCTATGCGAGGCCCCCGCAATGGCAGTGAAATGGTTAAGTGAGATACACCCAGATAATCCTGGCACGTGACCCACACGCTGCAGAGGAAGGCAAAAAACCCCTAAGGTCCCTGCCAATCTGAGCTGGGGGAAAACTCCTTCCCCACCCCACCTAATGCGATCAGTTTAATCCTGAGCACGTGAGCAAGAACCACCCAGCCAAACACCTGAGAGAGAATACTCAGTGCCATCTCAGAGCCCTGTCCTGTGTCCCATCTCCAGCCGCAGCCATCCCTGCTGCTTCAGAGGAAGGAGATAAAAACAAAACAATAGCAACAAAAAATAGAATACACTGTGTGCGGGGGTGGGGGAATCCCTTCCTGACCCCTGCCGCTGGTTGGCTGAAACCCTGAAGCATGACCTTTCAGGAGCATAAAACATAAACCGTCAGTGAGCCACAACTCCTTCTGGGCGGCTGTCCCAGAACCTCACCCCTCTGATGGCTAGAAACCATCTTCTAATTTCCAGCCCAAATTTGTTCAAGGCCAGTTTATAATCCATATCTAGATAATAATAATAAGAATTAAGAATGATGTTTGCTTAAAGATGACCTGGCATGGGAAAACTGCACTTGTTTGCATTTCTATCTATGTATCTATCTATCTATCTATCTCCATACCCAACCACTTCTCTATCCATCCACCTCTCCCAGTGATGCGCCCCTGCACCCTCTGTGTCTTTAGACCTGTGCCGACACTCTGTACATACCAACCTCCAAGCATCCTCCAAGTCCAACGAGTAGTGCAGCCGAATGGTACAGCGGCAGAGGGGTGTAGATCACGTCCTCGGCTTTGACGCCACTTATGTATAACATGGTCACTATGTTGCACAGCTTCAAGTGGGTGATGATGGCAGCTTTCGGGAGTCCTTGTAGGCCAAAGAAATTGTGTTTAGTGATGCCTCATGGGTTTTGTAGTGCAGTTACCACATGACCACCTTCTCCATTATAACCCGGGCTCCTGGATTGAACTACATCTCCCATGATGCACCACAGCCAGGCACTCCCATGGTGCACTACTTCCCCTGTCCAAGAGGGCATAGGTGCTGACTTTTATTTTTCCCTGTGGGAGCTCCACCCCCACTCCACCCCTTCCCCTGAGGCCCTACCCTCGCTCCACTTCTTCCTTCCCCTGCTCCACCCGCTCCCCTAAGGCCCCCCACGCACTCGTTGCTCTCCACCCTTCCCCAAGTGCCTCCTGCTAGCCACCAAACAGCTGATCGGTGGCGTGGCCAAACAGCTGATCGGTGGCGCCACTGAACAGCTGCGGTTGGTGGATGCTGAGCACCTACTATTTTTTTTCTGTGGGTGCTTAACCCCGGAGAACCCATGGAGTCAGTGCCTATGCAAGTGGGGACCTGAACTACAACTCCCATGAGGCACCATGCTGGTATTTCAGAATAAAAATATTTGGTGCTTTGGTCAAAATATTTCGGTATTTGAATTTTCATTGGTCAAAATCAAAATGTAACTTTTTTTTGTGTGCCAAAAATCACGAACAATTTAGACGAAAACAAAAAAATTTTTTTGTTTTCATCCAAAAAAAATTCCATTTTCCAACCCTCACTAGTGCTGATCAATATTTTGAAACTGGAAATGGCTGCCATTTTCCAAGATGACCGCGCTTATTCCTATTAAAGTTTTGGGAGTCTCATCTCCTGGTCCCTTAAGTTGGATGCAAAGTTTACAGATGCAGAAGACTCCTGTTTAGGGCTGAGGGGAAACACGTTTTTTCCTCCCATGAAAACTGTCAGCAATTTGAAAAGTATTCCTGTCCCAAACTTTCAAAATATCCCAAAAAAATTAGGAACCAAAAATTTTAAAAAATGGGCTCAAATCAAATCAAAATTCCATCTTGATCATTTCAAAATGTTTCATTCTGATGTTGACCGTTTTTTAACCTTTTTTGTGTGTGCAAAGTAAGGAATGTACCAAAGCAAAAAGCCGTCCCTGTGGCGTACTAAAAATTGTGTTAAAATTGCAAACTATCTCTTTAAGTGTTACGGGGTTTCCTGCTTGCAGTTGAGGGGGGCTCTGTAGGGAAGCACGCAACTTGGATCTTGAGCAATCAGCCTGCAAAAAGCCAGCCTAGAGCCAGGTGAGGTGAGCTGGGCCTCTCTTCCTCTGTCTCTCTCTGCTTTTGGTTCTTGCGTGTTATCAGTCTGCATTCTAAGAAATAACGTTGTGTGATGCTGCACATTTCCCAACCATCTCTAGTGCCGATCAATATTTTACATCCAGAGACGGCCGCCCTCTTCCAAGATGGCAAAGTTTGGGTTTTTTAATAATGTTGACAGATGTTTATTTTTAAGCATTTTTTTAAAATTAATTGATTTAAATTTTCAATGGCGCAAAAATTATGGGTTTTAAGCATCTTAATTTGATTGTTATCGATTTAAACTTTCACAGTTGTAGGAAATTAGGGGCGGTCGCACAGGCGCTGACTTTTGGGTTTGCCTGTGGGTGCTCCTCTCTGCCCCCTTCCCCCTGTGTGAGCAGCGGGCAGGGCCTCAGGGGGAGGAGGCCGAGGGCCTCAGGGCTGAGCACAGGAGGAGCGGGGGACGTGGCCACACTCCGGGTGCCGGGGCCCACAAAAGATTAGTCCCACCCTGGGGGGACTATTTTTTTAGATGGGTGCTTGAGCCCAGGAGCACCCACAGAGTCAGCACCTATGGGCGGTCAGACAAAAGGCGGGTCAGACCACAATTATTTATTGGCAACCGATGCTAAGATTCAAAAACTTTAAAGCTTTATAACCATTAAAAGACAAACTGTCAGCATCACATGTCAACATGCACAAAGGAAATATCCTTAAATCAAACTCGACTGCGTTTTCAAGCAGCCTTTTTCATACTTTGCCAATCTGACGATTATCAGTGGAAATATTGCTTTGTCGGTTTGGGCCTGTGTGATGAAACAACGTTTGTCGACATTTACCAATAAACATCTAATCGTACAAATGTGTGAGTAGAAGGGACCTCGATAGTCCAGTCCCCTGCACTGAGGCAGGACCAAGTATTATCTAGACTATCCCTGAGAGGTGTTTGTCCAACCTGTTCTTAAAAACCTCCAACGATGGCTATTCCGATTCCACAACCTCCCTAGGTAATTTATTCCAGTGTGTAACTACCTTGACAGTTTGGAAGATTTTCCTAACGTCCAACCTAAACCTCCCTTGCTCCCATACTTCTGGTCCTGTCCTCAGAGGATAAAGGGAACAAATGTTTCACACTCCTCTTTATAACAATCATCTTTCCAAGCCTACTTAACAGCCAGGTACAGCTGCTCAGCGCTCCCATCACACGTCTCCTCCTCACCTGTGGTGCCCGAGGTGTAAATGTAAAGTGCAGTGGATTTGCTGGTGACGTTGGCTCGGAAAGCGATGGGGATCGGCTCCTCGGAGGCGGCATCTATCTGGCCCTGGAGAGGCTCCACGCCACTGGTGGGGGACTCGGCGCTCAGGTAGAAAACCCGGATCCCTTTCTGTTGCAGGCTGGGCAGAACGTCCTCAATAGCGGCTTTGAGGTCTGAAGAGGGGGTGAGAAAGGCATTTTTCCCCATTGAGGAACACGGGTCGCTGCATCCATGCACACAGAGGCGTATGGAGACACAGACACAGATGTGCCCACCGACGCAGGCACACACAGATACACAGACAAAGGTAGGAGCGGGCAGACAGACAGAGCAGACGCACGCAGAGGCGCACTGTGACACACTGTACCCCACGTTCCCCCCTGTACCCACATGTTCACCACCGCGAGATGGCTAGGGGATGGTTTGTACAGAGCATGCCTTGTGAGGTATCATGGGCAAAGCCTGAATTGGATGAACCTCATTATCCTGTTGAAATGCGTGGTTGTCATCGTTGGACATGAAGCTGTGAGATTTTGCTACAGACTGAAACATGTTGTGAGTCTGAGAAACGCCCACCGACCAGCCCCTTGGAGAGGACAGAGAAACGGCAAACACAGAGGCCGTACGTGCCAAAGCTCATGTCGATCAGGAGTGGAGGAAGCTCCCTAAAAGTGGGGGGCCACCGGCGCCCGAACACTGGCTCCGCCCTCATGCCACC